GGGCCGGCGGAGACAGAACCGTCTCCGTATTTGCTTTGTGGACAGTAAGTGGTCCGGTGAGGCCTGTCGTTCTTGTTGCCGGAAATCATAACGGGAGGAACAAGCAGAACCGATGGTTCCTGGCTACCGTGAGGAAAATGAAAGCTCAGTTCCTGTGGCATCACCTCCACTCCTCACTCCTCCTACCCCAACCTGCTCTCCTAACACACTGTCCGTGTCTTGATCTGGGACAGCAGACTTCAGGGTGAGAGGTCCTTTGCTTCCTTCTCAGGCTCTGTCTGCCATTCAGGCACGGCCAGCTGCTGCTCCTTGGCCTGGGGTGGGGAAGGGACACAGAGCAGGGGAGACTTGCAGGCCCCTGGGGCAGAGAATCTAGGCCGGAACTTGAGTCCTAGACAGCTGTGTGATTTTGGGCAAGTGTCTTCACCTTTGTGAGCCTCATGGTTCTCAGCCCAAAAGTGGGCAATTATAGCAAAACGTTGACAGCCCCACTTAGAAAAAGAGAGTCCAGGTGTTGGAGTTAGACTTTACTTCAAACTCTGAATCTACCACTGACCAGTTATGTCAGACTTAATGGCTCGGAGCCTTAGTTTCTGAATCTGTAAAATGGGTTGTTGTAGGGACTCAGTGAGGTGATTGAACTGGGAGCACTCTGGAAAATGCAAGGCTTCACAAATGATGCTGATTTTTATCACTCAGCCCCTGGAATGCAGCTCTGAGGTGGCTCCAGAAACTGACACCCCAGTTCTCCTGACCCCAGGAACATCGTTCTAATTTGCATCCTTCCCACCAGCCAGAGGGAGGGTTTCTCCATACCCGGGCCCCCACTCCTTTTCATATTTCCTCGTTACCTGAGGCACCACCCCATTCCCACCTTGTTATAAGAACAGACTGGTAAGAAAGTCCCGAGTCTCACCCCTCACCCCTGGTCTCAGTGCCCCAGCCTCAATCTTCTGCCCTGAAAGAATTCTATTGATGCTTGGGGCCAATCCTTGGGAAGGGGTGCTGCCACCAGGACCTTTCATTCACCCTGAGGTCCCAGAACCCCGTCCTCCTTGGACCAAGCCTGCTCTTGGTGCCCAATGGCAGATGGGGGCCCACAGGAGACTCACTGTAGTGCCCTTCTACCCGGTACACTGCTAAGTCTGGCCTCACAGCACTGCCCTGTCCCGCCCTGTCCTGGCCCAGTGAGCTGGCTGGCATTGCAGGGACCAGGGTGACCATGGGGAGGAGGGTGTGAGGGCTGGGGAGGGAGAGGGCTGACAGGAGGCAGGGCCTCTGGGGGCTGAGGACTATAAAGGGGCCAGGAGGAGAGCAGGGGACGATCCAGCCTGAGGCAGGCACCTGCTTGGTCCAGGACTCACTTGCTCAGGACTCAGCGTAAGTGGGCTCAGCCTGCTCCAAGGTCTGGGGGACTCCCTGGGTCTAGGGCCTGGGATGGGGGAAGAATTGATGGTTTGCAGGACGGGGGGCATCTGGAGGCCTGAGGTCCTGTGTGGGTCTGGCTCTACATCTGGACGAACCTTGCACCCTGGAAGAGCAGTCCGTGACTGGATTGCACATGTGTGTAGGGGGAGTGGTTGTTGGTGACTGTGAACACAAATGTGTGAGTGCCTTAGAGCTTGTGAGTGATTGGGATCCGTGTGTGTGTGTGTGTGTGTGTGTGTGTGTATGACCATGACCTCCTGTATCTGCATGTCTCTCCCTGGCGGATGGGGGATGGGGGGTCGGTGGGTAGTGAACTGCAGGAGCACTTCACCCCAACCCCTTCCCTCCAGCCCCTACCCCACATCGGCCTACTCAGAGCCATCAGGCCCTGGACTTCATGCGTCCTGTGCCTCCTGCCCCATGTCCCACCTTCTCTGCTCCCTTTTTCTACTTTGCTGAGCTCTGGCTGCTGCACTGCTACAGAAGGAGCTGTCTACACTGGCCGAGGCAGTGCCTAGGCCCTAGGCGGTGAGGTGGTCAGGTCCCAGCGGCTCTTTGCTTCGCCCTCTTGTCCCCAGGCTTGGAGAAGTAGGTGATGGGTGAGGGGCTGGGTGGGTTCTGCCTCTAATGCTCTCCCACTCCTTGCTCCTCAGATGGCTGCTGCACGCCGCTGCCTCTCCCTGCTGTTCCTGTCCACGTGTGTGGCTCTGTTGCTGCAGCCGCTGCTGGGTGCCTCCGGGGCCCCGCTGGAGCCAGTGTATCCAGGGGACGACGCCACACCAGAGCAGTTGGCCCAGTATGCGGCTGAGCTCCGCAGATACATCAACATGCTGACCAGGCCCAGGTGTGTACAGAGGGAGGGTGAGTGGTCCCGGCTCCTGCCCCTTCCACGTTCTTGGGAAAGCTGAACCATTCTACTGAGCAGGCCTGGGCCCCTGTGCCCCTGGAGGATGGTACCCAAGGGCGGGCAGGAGGCAAGTGGGCTGGCACCTGGGCACAGTGCTCGCTTGCCCCAGCTGCCTCTCCCCTCCCAGATACGGGAAAAGAGACCAAGAAGAAACACCGTGGAACTTCTTGGAGTGGGGAGCCCCCAACAAAGTTGCCCCCAGGTTGGTTTGGTTCCCCGCCCTGTATGCCAGCACCCTGGGGCTGAAATGGGGGTGGAGGTGAGTTGGGGGTTTTCGGGGAGAACAGGGGCCCAGGGCTTGCCTGAGGCCTCCTGAGGTCTGAGGACTGCCCACTCCCCCTGCCATGTGCGGCCCTCTCCCCACAGGGAGCTCAGCCAGATGGACGTGTAAGCCACCCTCGCCTCCTCCGCCTCCAAGGGCAGTGCCTGCCCAGGTCTCTCCTCCACACCCGTGGCTCTGGCCAAAGCTTGCTCCCCACTCCCACAGGCTGAATAAAGCAAATCAAAGACATTGCCTCTCTCTGCGTGTCTCTGTGGACCTGGTGCATCAGGAGTAGCCAAAGGCAGGAGAGAAAGGGGGAGGGGACGGAGGGGAAGGGCAAGAGGGTGTTAGGAATGGACAGACCATCTATGGGGCCATCAGAGCCATGGAGCTCAGCTCCACTTCACGGAGGGCAAGTGTGGCCCAAGGGAGGCAGCGACTCCCCCAGGGTCACTCAGCGAGTCAGTGAAGTGGCGCTGGAGCCGGAATCTTCCATTTCAGCACCTATAGACCCTCCTGATCATTGGCCCAATAACAGCCCAGTGCCCAAGTGGACCCCCTCCCATTCTTCCCTATAGTTTAGTGTCCTTGGCATGGGGGCAGCGTGACAGCCCAGCCCAGAGGAGTGACCGGAGCAAAGGCAGCCACTGGCTGCAGGATGGCACCAGAGCTGCCCTCCTCCGGGCCGGGCACTGAGCACGGTCCGTGGGAGCACGTGAGGGGATACGAGGCTCAGCAGAAGCCTGGCCCACGAGGGGGACTGTGAAGGGTCTGGGGATGGTGTCATGTGCAGATTGTGGGGAAAGGAGCCTACTGTGTGCCAGGGCTACCTAACCTCACAGCAAGTCTGCGAGGATGATAACTGTTATCCTCACCCTCCAGAGGGGAAAGCAAGGCCGGGAGAAGTGCCGCAGTGTGTCCGAGGTCCTGCCCCAGGCCGCATTCTAATAGAGGGTCTAGCATCAGCGTTAGAGTCAGATGAGCCTGTGTTCAAACAGGAAATCTGCCACTTGCTGTCTGTGTGCTTTGGGGCAGGGATATAACCTCTCTGAGCCTCAGACTCTGCATCTGTAAAAGGGACAGAGTGACAGGGTTGTGGTGAGCATGCCATGAAATGATGCAGGTGGAACATTTAGCTGGGCCCCTGACCCAGGTAAACGGGAGCTTGCAAGGGGCAGACTTGCGATGTAGCCACTGGCCAACCGGCTGTTTCTATGGATATGTGGAGATAACAAGCTCCTCAGACGTGGAAGGAGTGGGGAGAGGCCCATGGGAGGGGCTCTGGAAGGCAGGCTTTAGGGGACTATAGGAAATATCCTTGAAGAACCTGAAATTTGGAAAGAACTTGTCCTGAGAGGTGGTGGACTCCTGGGTGCAGGAGCCATTCAGTAGGGGACAGGAGGGGCGCCATGGGGAATTCAGGTTCCAGGGAATGGGCTAACCTGTGGATTCCACACTGCAGCTCTGGGAGGGACCAGAAGGAATCCTGCACCTGGTGTGTGTGTGTGTGTGTGTGTGTGACTGGGCTTGTCTCTCCCGCTTTCCTGGGCTAGGAGCAGCTGTGGATAAGGGAGAGTCATGGTAGTAGGGGAGGGAGGGAGGAGTGAGAGAATTAGAACTTTCCTGGTTCCTGGAATGGCTTCTTCTGCCCCCCTCCGCACATGCTCAGCCTGCAGGGATGGGGGCCTGTGGGCTTGGTGCATGAGGGGACACACCTTCCTGGGCTCAGCTCCTCACATTGACCCACAGCCATGACACCACATCATCCTTCCCCTCCAGTCTGGCTGTGTCTGGTGTGTGCGACAGACCTGTAAGTGGAACCAGGCCCCAAGAGGCAAAGGGCCGGAGAGGAAGCAGCTGCCAGGCAAATGCATGTCTCAGGCTGATTCTTAAGTCCAAGGGCGTGTCTGGGAGGAGGGCTGGTTCCAGCAGATCAGAATTTGGGTTTGGATGATGGAGCCTGAAGACCTGACCCCAGAATGTTCTTTGCAGCTGAGAGGATGGGTTCTGAGTAGGGAGAGGTGTAGACACCTCCCAGCATCAAGAATTAGGACCCTGCCCGGGACACACCTGTGAGCTGGATCTGCCCCTGCCCAGGCCTCTCTGATGGCCACCAGCTTCCGGAGGAGAGCCCCACGCTCTCACCAGCTTCCCAGGAACAGGCCTGGCTGGGCTCCCAGCCCTTCCCCTGCTCTGCTTGCGGCCAGCGAGGCTGGCAGGGTTCAGGGGCAAAGGCAGGACCTTATGCTCTACACCAGCGGTTCTCAACCTGTGGGTCATGGCCCCTTTGGGGGTCAAACAGCCCTTTCACAGGGGTCGCCTAAGACCATCGGAAAATACATATATAATCACATATTGTTTTTGTGATTAATCACTATGCTTTAATTATGCTCCATTTGTAACAATGAAATCGGGGTTCAGCACAGCATGAGGAACTGTATTAAAGGGTCGGGGCATTAGGAAGGTTGAGAACCACTGCTGTACACACTAAGGGGCTGCTGCTTGTCCCTGTACCAACACTGAGGTCCCGGCCTGTCATGGAGATAGCGCCGCCCTGCTGTGTGGAAACTTGGGGTGGGGGCCTGGCTGAAGCCCTCCCCTTTGAGCTTGCTGGAATGGGCTTCTGTCGCTCTGCTCTGCCTCTCCTGGCCTTGGGGGGTGTGTGTGAGGTGCATGGGCTGCAGGAGGCGGCAGGGAAGCCCCTAAAGCTGAGGCCTTTGCCCCAGCAGGAGCTCCAGGGTCCTCTCCCCCTTGCAGTGCAGGAGGGTCCCTTCCTGTCCAGGGCCCACATTCATCACCGAAGCAACAGACATTCCATTTCTCTTTATTGTTCTCCCTGGGGGGTGGGGTGGGAGGAGTTAGGGCCCCTCTCATAAAAAATGTGAAGGAGATCCCTGGGCCCGCGAGGAGACTTGAGTCGGGCATCTGGAGGGGAAAGCGCAGCCGGGAGATGGAAGTCCCTGTGGCCCGGTACCCCTGCTCCCCAGGTCTTCCTCTCGCTCCCGCCCAACCTGCCCCCAGTTCTGAGGCTCCTGACTGGTTGGTGCTGGCTGTGCCCGGCTCTCCTACCTGGGACCCTGGGAGGAGCTCGGTGGTCAGGGTTTCGTGGCCTCTCGCGGTGCGGGGTTGGTGGGATTCAGCGGGTTGGCGGGGTTCGGTGCAGGGAGGCTTGTGGCGTTTGCTGGTGGGGGTTTCCTGGCGTTCACTGGGGGGGCTTTTGTGCTGTTGTCGGCTTTCTTGGGGTGTTTAACATCCTTAGATTTCTTGGCGTCCTTAGATTTCAAGCTGGAAAACACGGCTTTGCAGAAGTCCTGGGGTTGCGATGCGCGGGGTGGGAGGTTTGGAGTTATGTTGCGTTCGGCATGTTCTTGTTGTCTCAGGCCTGCTATGCATGTCTGGAGGGGGCGGGGCAGACAGAGCCGCGGCGGTCACGTGAGCCCACCCCTCCGACACCTCGCGGGGAGGTGAGCTGGGCGCTCAGGTCCAGGGACGGGTCTGCCCGGCGTAAGGGGGGCGGAGGGGGGAGGGTACACACGTTCACGAGCGCCCTTAGGGACATCCAGGTGCCCAGGCCCAATGGTGCCCCTCGACTTGCACAGTGACGCCCACAAAGTACCAGGGGAACGGGGGTCGGGAGGATGGACTGCGAGTGCGCCCTGAGATGGACACACACGGGCACGCGCACGCGCGCGCGCGCGCACACACACACACGCACACACACACACACGCGAGGGTGGCACAGAGCCGTTGGTCAGCGCCCTAACCTCACTGACCTCTCCCATAGCTCCTTGCTCACCCTACTTCCGCCTCTCCTGGCAGTTCCTTTAAAAAGCCAGTTCTTTTAAACTCTCCAGATTTCCTCATGGCCAACTGCCTTGCCTCCTTCGGGCATCCGCTCAAAATTCAACTTCCAGTGGGTACTACCCTGACACCCTTATTTTTTAAAAAACATATTTTATTGATTTTTTCACAGAGAGGAAGAGAGAGGGATAGAGAAATTAGAAACATTGATTTGAGAGAAACATCGATCAGCTGCCTCCTCCACAGTCCCCACTGGGGATGTGCCTGCAACCAAGGTACATGCCCTTGACCAGAATCGATCCTGGGACCCTTCAGTCCACAGGCGTACACTCCATCCACTGAGCCAAACTGGTTAGGGCTGATACCTTTATTTTTTTTTTAAGTTTTTTTAAAAAATTTTATTTAGAGAGAGCGAGGAAGGGAGAGGGATATATAGAGAGAAACATTGATGAGAGAGGAACATCATCCATGGGCTGCCTTCAGCTCACCCCCTACTGGGGATGGAGCCTGCAACCCTGGCATGTGCCCTGACTGGGAATCAGCGACCTCTTGGTTCCTGGGTTGATGCTCAACCACTGAGCCACATCAGCCGGGGAACCCCTATTTTAAAAATTGCAACCTACTCATTCATCTTGCTCTACTTTCCCCTACCCTGCTCCGTTCACCTTCTAACTTATTATATTCTGTGCTTTAAATTCTCTTTGTCCCTCCTAAATGCCCCCTAACCCCAACGCATGTAAGCACCGTTATAGCTGGGCTCTTTGCCTGTTTTATTCACTGATGTATTACAAGTACCTAGAACAGTGCCTGACACTTAGTAGTGCTAAATCATACACGTTAAAGGAATAATTACTAATACAGTTACATATACCTCCATGCACACCCCCAGCCAAGCACAGAAAAGTGTGTGCCGGCACACACAGCAACTCATATATTACGATGCCCATAAACATGATACAACCTCCCCACCCCCTCCCTAGAGCCCCTGGGACAATTCTCTCTTGACCAGAAAATCCCCTCATCCCCACCACCCAGAGCAGGGACAGAAAACCTGGCAGCTGTCCTGGCCATGGGACTGGCAGAGGGGGCTGCCCTGGTCTCAATCCTTCATGCCTTTAATGCCCTGGGGAGGGGCATTTGGTGCCAGTGTCCATCCCCACAATCGGAGAAGACAGCGGACAGGGCCCACCAGACATTACCATGGTGCTGAGCAGGTGCAGAGCAGCACAGCAAAGGGTCTCTGGCCAGGACGTCCGAGGCCCTTTATATTCCTTCAGGTCTATGTCCCTTTCCCTGTAAGGTCGCACCCCCAGCTTGACCTCCTTATCCCGCCCCTATGTAATAACCTGGGAGTTGGGAACAGGGAGACGGTGGGGGTGGAAGCACATGGACTGCTAGCTGTCCTGACCTGCACCGTCCCTGCCAGGGGCCCAGAGGTGTGGGTGGCAGAGGTGGAGGCACTGGGGAGTAGGGAACTTTTGGCTTCAAGTCTACGGATACTAAGGAGGAACCGACACAGGTTAAGAGGGGGCTGTGCTTCTCCCAGGGGCCTTCTCTCAGCATTGGGAGGGCGGCTATGCTGAGAGACCAGACCTTCCCATCCAGCTGGATCCAGGGTGCCTCCTTTCCCTGTTGAGCTGCTGTGAGGCCTCAGCACCCTCATTCCTGGCCTCTAGGCCCGCTAGTATGGGGAGGGGGTAAAGATTTTCTTGGCCTGCCTCACCCTTTCAGAGCCCCTGATGGTTGACCTGCAGAACCTTCTAAAGGGTGGGGGGTCTTGCTGCTTTTCTGGGACAAGGTTATGAAGTGGGGACTGCTACTTTTTCTTGCCCATCCCACCCGCAGAAGGGGCACAGTAGGAAGAGTAGGGTCTTCTGGGAAGGAATCCTGACTTCACCATTTTCTGACTATGTGACCTTGACTAAGGGACATCATATCCCTGAGCCTCTGTGTCCTCATCTGTGAAATGGAGCCGATTGCGCCTGTAGCACGGGCTGTTGTGAGGACTGAGTCGATGATGTAGCTGAAGCCCCTGCGCAGCTTCTGGCACCTCCTAGGTGATTAACATGTGTGAGCTTCTCCACTACTGGG